ACATTAAACAACCCTACAGTTCGTTATAACGTATACGTTACATGGAGGGGAGCAACCTTTACTAATCAAACTAAGAACTGTCAATTCGCGCAGCAGCTACATTCTTCATGTCGTGAGCGCAGAGGAGAGCGGACTCTGCTTGGCCTTCTGGAAATTTAAGCACTCGACTTTGGCACACCCACCTAATGGGGCGCCTTTCGGATGAAGCGCCCGACATACACAAGTGAATTTCTTCCCTGGTTCCATCTTGGTTGCCTGTCTCAAAGCAAAGAGGTACACTTCTTACCGTGAGTTTTAGACGTTAAGCGACGGCCGTAACTCGCGCATCAGGCCGCATTCCGTCTGAATCAACGCCAACCTCGCTTCCGCTCCTTTCATCCACAAGTGCGGAGAACGGAGGCTTATCACACGGCGGCGAATGAGGAAGGTAACGATGTCGAATATACTCATGAAGGTCATTCATTCGTGCAGGCTTGAGTAGACTATTTTACAATGCGGTAAATTCTACTAACCATGGGCACGTTTCAGCCGTTGCTTCTAACTAATACGATTCGCTACGCTCCTTATGGCGATTGTTTGGTGTGAGCTGGGCTGCGGTGGGGGGTTGCTCACTTGGCGGCGAAGGGCAAAGCAGGGGCTGGTCCTCGTCGTCGGCGGCGGCGTCGGGGCGCGCGCCGTTCGGGGCGGCTCCGCCTCCCCGCGCGGCGACGCCGCCGCCGCTCCGCCGCGCCGAGTCGCGCGGGTCCCGTCCAGGCGCAGGTGCACCGCGGTAGCCCGGCCACGGCCAGCCGGGTGCACACGGCAGTCGAGCGCGGCAGCGCGCAGATCGTACATTCGGTGTCGCCCACGTGGCCTCCGCCCCTGCACACGCGCCCGCGCCCGGGCCGCACCTCGCTTGGCGCCGCGGGTCACGCACGACCGACCTTCACTCGAGTGTCTCCTCTTCACACGCCCCCCTCAGTCGCACACGTAGCCCTTCATTGGTCCGAACACGCGCTCACTCGACATCTACACCCCACGCGCTGCGAAACTTGCACATCGCGCCTCAACTCACACATGCCATCATTCACATATGCTCTCACTCACTCCATGCCTCTCGCACACTTCGGCGAGCCCAAACACAGCACCTCACTACTCATCTTGTTATTTTCCGCCCACGTCACGCACCTTTACATAATACGTGCCGATCGACCATCCGCACTCCGTCCCTCCAAGGTGCAACACAACCGTCAACGAATCGCCCACTTTGGGCGTCTGGCGTCGAAGTGTTTTCCTCCATTCTTATTTCGCGGAATCTAATTTTTCCCACATAACCGGGCCGAGCATCCTTGTTTTGGGCCACATACGCGTCGTCCGCGACCCTCAATCGCACACGCCCTCACTCGCAAACGCCCTTCACTCGCGCACGCCCCTCACTCGCACGACGCCCTCACTTGCACACGCCCTCATCACACAGTCCTCACTCGCAAACGCCCTCACTCGCGCACGCCCTCACTCACAGCACGCCCCTCTAATCGCACACGGCCCTCAATCCACACGCCCTCAACTCGCGCACGCCCTCACTCGTACACGCCCTCACTCACGCAAACGCCCTCACTCGCACAACGGCCCATCACTCGCCACACGCCCTCAACTCGCACACGCCCTCACTCGCAACACGCCCACATTCGCACACGCCCACATGTCGCACAAGCCCACATTCGCACAGCCCACATTCGCACACGCCCTCACGTCACACACGCCCCTCACTCGGCTACTCCGCCTCAGTGCGTACGTTCTCAACTCGCATAACGTCCTCACTTGCACAGCCCCTCACTCGTCACTCGCCTCTCAACTCGCGCACGGCTGTCACTCGCACACGCCTTCGCTGGTACGCACAATGGTCGCATATCGTCATGGGGGGATGGGGTCAGAGTGAACCTCTCCTCAGTGATCGAGCTCTTTTCCCTAATCGTGGCAGGAATGGGCGAAATTGAACCCAGCATCAGCTGTTGAGAATCACATAGAGATGATAAAATAAGTACCTGTCCAAAACAAGCAAACATACTTAAGAGTGTAGATAGATCAGAGATATATATCAGTTATCATGCATAATATAAGTAGATAAGGAATGAAAGAAGAAGAGTAGAACAGCAACAACATGTCAAACACGAAATTCCAAACAAATTTAAAGCCGATAAGTAAGAAAAGAGAAGTTGTACACATGCAGATTGAATATTCTATGTATCCGTATTCGATCGTTTCCTCATAATCGAGGAGCATCGGTTAAGCGGTAATGAAAATTCTCATTCATAAAGAAATATTTCTAGCCTCTCGCAGCCGCAAAATCCCGCTCGTTAGAGCTAAGTCGATATGGAATATCATGTGCTTTTCGTCTCTCCTAATCGGAGCAGCGGGCCACGGGGTTTTTTTCTTTCAATTTCCGACTCGCCCAACTCACTGAGTCCCCTGACGTGTCTCGTTCCACTTCACACACATCTGCGAATCACAGTACACTCTCTCCACGTCTTTCCTCCCACGACGGCCTTGCCATTTCGCCACGCCTTTGCCCCGTTCCGTCCTATTTGTCCGCCTTTTCTCAACGGTTCTCTTTTGCATCCCGTCGCTCGCCACTCCTACCTCAGCCCGACTCCGATCTCTATCGTCCTCTGCCCGAGCTCGACATCGGTCGCTCGTTTCCTGGCCGGCCTGTGTTGTCCGCCTCCCTGCCCTTCTCAGCTTCTCCACGACAAAAGTCCGGGTTCACCTCCGCCACGCCCGCCTCCACGCCCGCTCTGAGTCTCCATCCGGGTGGTATCAAGGCCAACCTCATACACACCGCCCTATCCAGAGGGCTCTCCATGACCTGACCCGTCGCTCCCACATCGTCCCCTTCCTCAAATGACCCCTGTCCGCACGCCTCCCTCTAGGCCGGCACCTGCCCCAGCCCCCACACTCCGTCCCGCCCGCGCACTCCTCTCCTCGCCCCTCTGCCCCGCGCGCCCGATAGAGGCGGCGCCAACCATGCCTCGCCAACCTCGCGTTCAGCTTGGCGACCTCCGTCTCCACGCCGGAGTCCTCTTGTCGGCGGCCTCGGCCCCGCCCCGCGCCCGCGCCGCCCGCCGGCCGAAAGAGCGACGAGGACGGGGTTGGGGCCTCGCGCGGCGCCTGGAGGCGTGGATGGCGGCTTATGGCGGGGCGCTCAGCGAGCCTCGCGCCGAGCGCGGCGTGGGCAGTGGGCCGCGACGGCCCAGGAAGATGGAGCGCGAGCTGGGCCCAGAAGGGCCGGAAAGCGCGGGACGGGTTAAATGGAAATACGCGAGCACGAAAACGTATTTCAGAAGGTAAACTCACAACTTTAAGGGTTTCTTCAATAATAAATTATGGGAGTGTATGGACGAATAAAATGCAGTCAATGATTACTCAAAACTAGGAATGGAAGTGTAATTCAAGAAATGAAAAGAAGTGCTTGTTACAACGTCCTCTAGAAGCAAAAACCCAAAACAAGGTGATAATAAACGCTCCGCCCCAACATATGTACGTTTATTCATGTAGAATTATACTACAATTACTTCACGAAATAAATAAGTTCCTTATTTACAAATAATGAAATAAAACACCCTTGAACCTTCATTTCTATTCCATATAGTTTGAATCTCTCTGTGAAATTATAAAATAATGAATATAAGGAAGCAATATTTATGTCAATGAAACTACATAATGAGAGTCCCGAAAAAGAAGCTGTATGTTTTATATGCATGTAGAAGAAAAATTCGATACAAAGGTTTTCTTGGAATCTTTCAAAATCTTGGAATGAAGAATAATGAAAGGGTGCTACGTACTATTAGTCCACTTTTCTGTCATTTTCTACCAGACTAGTGGAACCCGGCAGGCGTTGCCCATCGTCTCCCTTTTTCTCCTTCCCTCTCTCTTTCTCTCTCTCTCTCTGTCCCTTTGTCTATCTCTGTTTCCCACTTTGTCTACCCGTTTGTATATCTCTTTTTGTCTCTCTTTGTCTTTGTCTCTCTCTTTGTCTTTGTCTCTCTCTTTCCCTTTTTGTCTCTCTCTTTCTCTTGGTCTCTATTTATCTTTGGCTCTCTTTCTATTTGGCTCTCTTTCTCTTTGACTCTCTTCTATTTGGCTCTCTTTCTCTTTGACTCTCTTTCTCTTTGTCTCTCTCTTTCTCTCTCTCTATCTATCTATTAATCTCTTTATCTCTAGTTTTTTCTACACATCAGCTCGGCTTCTTTGAAGACGTTTGTACAGTGATTAAAACACATGTTAAAGTTTTCCAGAAACTCTAACGTATATATTTTGGATTAACAAACAAAGGTTAGCACTAACTTGTACTGATCCGATCGATTAATCATAAAACTAACATATGTCAGTTTTATGTCGTGTTGAAGAATACGTTGTTCTCCATGTGCTAAAAGGGTGCTTTTGTGCCTGAGGGCGTGAGAGTGAAGGGCGAGGACTGGGTGCCAAGAGAGAGGTAGAGGCGCGAGTGGGGAGGAGATCCAAACACACACAAAGCGAGGCGGGACGAGCCAGAAGAGAAAGAAAGCTGGAAGTTGACACCCAATAGAAATTGATTTCAGCTGGCTTAAGCAGAATAATGGGGAGGATTGGTGGAGCAGAAACGTGAACAACAAACTTAATATGTGTTAGAACAGACACAACACTATTTTTCAATATAGCCCCTCCCCCGTTCTACGCATTGTGTTCTCCGATGAACAAGACCGTGCATGTCACGCTGGTAAAAATCTGGACAAGACAAGGTGACCCGTACGGGAAATTCTTATGTCACTATTCCATGGATTGTTATACCACTGGATTGGCATGCCATTGACACCACTCATATTCGTTTTTGAGGTTGCACGCCAACGTACAAAAGTGGGAGGCATTACATTCGGAATGACCCTCTTATGTATGGGGTTCCGAAGAGCTGGTTTTGTACTAACAAACGGATTCATCCAGGTGGTTTGAAGAAGCGGGGCAGTTTGGGACACATACGGACAAGGCTATGAGGCGCAGTTGCAAACAGACAGACGAATGCGCACAGGTTCAAACAACCAGCCCCGACAAATTCGGACGCGGCCACAGATCCGGGCGTGCGACCTTGAGGTGGCTGGTGTCGGGAGCGAGAGCCCTGAGATGCGAGCTGCCGCAGAGGGCGCTGGGCGCTTGAGGGTTTGTGGGGCGTGAGTTGTGGCGGGCGCTGGTTTCACAGACCGCTGCGCTTCACCTTTCACCCCCCTCCCCACTCCTTGCACCTCCCAACTTGCTCTTCGTCGCCTTGCCTTCTTCCTCCCCGCTCCGCCCAACCCAGACCCGATCTCACCGCCCAACCCCGTCCCGACACCGCCCCGCCATGTCGCGCCGCGCCCCACTTCACACCTCTCCGCCCAGCCTAGTTTCGTCCCACTCCTCTCCGCCTTGCCCTTTCTATGCCCACACCGACCTTCTCTGTCCCGATCCACCCATCCTCTTCCTCCTTCACTCCTCCCCGATCCTCCTCTCCCGTCCCCCATCTGCCCCTCCCGGCCCGATCCGCCCCTCATCTCCCCGAACGGTCCCTCCCCTCCCCGATCGTTCCATCCTATTCCCAATACGCTCTTTCCCTCCCCGATCCGCCCCTCGCGTCTCCAATCCGGCCCTCCCGTCCCCGATACGCCCTTTCCCTCGCCGATCGGCTCCTCCCATTCCCGATCCGCCCCTCCCGTCACCGATCCGCACCTCCCCTCTTCGCTTCGCCCCTCCACTCCCCCCATCCATCCCTCCACGCTGCGCGGCTTCCTCTTGCACTCCCCCGCCGCACTCCCTCCTCGCACCGCCTCCTCTCCGCCGTACCCTGCCCCGCAGCGCCGCGCGCCTTCCTTTTGCCCCGGCACCGGCGTGGGCGCGGGCGCGGGCGCCGGCGGCGGTGGAATCTGCGAGCGCTTAGCGCTCCGTCCGCCACTGTTGCCGCTGGAATGCTTGGTTCGAGCCCCGGCACCGCTCCTTCCTCGCAGAGCGCGCTCTAATGACAGCGAGTTCGCGAGCTAAAGAATTTCTCATTTGCGCCGGCGGAAATACTTTTCACTTAATCGTTTCAATGGAGTGCGCTTGGGTTTGCTCGAGAGCTCTTCAGCGCTATTTCGTGCTCGTGTTAGGGGTGTGTCACTTGTTCTTCGACGGTTTCCCATCTAGTGCAAGCGGATGGGAATTCATTAAGTTTCCTTATCACGAAGTTTTATCTACTCTCAAACAGGATTAATAACGCTACTTCTGTGAGAGAAATCACTTGAGTAGTAATATAATGCACCTCTTGTAACGAGTTTTTTTTTATGGTGAATATGTCAATTTCTCTCGCTCCCTTTTTCGTTTTTCCTTGGAGCACCTAGTTTTTCCCATGTAATCCCTGAACTTGACAACAGTTTTGATACAATTATTGTTGTCTTCCGTACTGCATTTGCGGCCAGGAGGTGCACTTTTTATCTATGGAACTAATTTTCTATATCCGCCTTTTTTCTAGAAAAACGTTAATTTTCACTTTGCAGTTTTTGCGCGCTAACAGGCAGTCCACGTGAAATTATTTTTCTTTTTACGTTTAATGCCTTTGTGCTTATAAATGACTTACTTTTAATACCTTCCTACAAAAAGTGGCTTTAAAAATCATTTCGTTGCAGTTGGATCAGTGCAGGGTTTCCGGAAATATCAGGGATTGCAGTATCTCAGTCTGACGCGAAACCTTGCGTTGTGTCCCTTGCTGACAATGTTTGTATATGGAAAATGAAGTATATGCTAGCGACGCGAAGAAAATGTGTAAACTGCTGACCGTTGTGTATTTTTTCGGTTTATTATGATTATATCTTGTATATTATTATTTATATCTTGTACGATTTGTATAAAAAAAGTTCGTTAAACATTTCACAAAAAGTTTAAGGGAAATTTGAAACAATTCTCCAGACAAAAGTGACAAACATATTTTAATGAAAAATCGATAAAATGAAAGACCAATTTTAACAATTTATTGCCTGCCCTAAATAGTTTCCTTTTATACCTAGGCGTTTCAAACAGACGTTTCAAAATATGGTGCGATTACTGTTAAATTCAGGAGATTGATGTATGTCACAGACTTGTAAACAAAATAGTTTAATGTTCCAAAAATTGTTTTTTTATTTGATTCCTGATAGTTAAATTGACGTTTCCTTCAAAATAAGGGGTAATCCAGGCATTTTTGTGAGAGCGCATGCGAAACGTTTCACAAATTAATTTGATAACTAACGTTATTACAAACTCCTTGTTGTGTAACTAAATGTGTATTTACATATAAGAAATTTAATTATAGTTGCAAGTAGTCATATTACGTGTTGATAAAGATCATACTGCTCTTTAGAAATTGTATCAAAAACTGAAGTAGCGTACTAAAATTTTGCTTTTCGTGTGACTAATTTTCTTGCTTGCAAGCCTCATCCACTCCAATCACCTTCTTCCCGGCTTCTCTGAGATCAGTAGTTTTTTTGTGGTTTCTTCCATCAACATCGCGCGAATGCAGGAGTAGTACCCTAACAAACGGGCTACGGACTGTTCGCAATTCTTTCCTTCCTCTTCCTTGTCCTATCCTCACATCTTACACTAACATGCACTACACTACCACATATGTCAGGAGAACAAACTCGGGAGTCTAAAGTTTGCCCCGGGTGGGGCAGTGTCCCGTTGGTGAGAGATACTTGGTCGGGGGAAATCCTGCTAGCCGACGGTAAGTCTCAGCCTGATCTCGGGGGGAAGGCCATCGCCACCTCCCAAGGAAAAACACTATACACTTTCAAGACTAATTACCTCAGTAGTTGGCTGGCCCGGAATTACCAACAACCAACCGATGGCCGTCTCAATTCTTACCTCAACCTCTGCCCACCTTCGCCTACGTCCATTTCAACGATTACATGTTATCATCCATCACATCGCACATCAACCTCACCCACCAACGACATCAACACCCTCATAAACGAACAACTACAGTTCACCGACGTAACACCCCCTTAAATGGCGCTGCGGTGACCGACAGTACTCTTATCTTAACTGACACGATTCCCGTTTCAACTGCCTCCCTCAACCAACGCAACGCCCGCTTTCTCCGGCATTACGCCTGCCTCAAGCTGCACTAAGTCCATACCGCGACCCCGCTTTAACGAAAGCCCAAGTCTCGCACGTGCGGAACCCGCGCCCTTGTTCACTCGTGCCCGGCGGTGCCTCGCTAATTAGCGCGCGACTCTCCCCTCTCCTTCCCAAACCACCCCACCCCCTGCCACGCACTGGCACGCGGTGCCGTCAGTTTGCCCTCCGATTATCTGCGCAAATCTGCGCCGGTCGAAGTTTTCTGTGAGTGGATGGATCGTGCTCTCACGTTGTAGCTTCAGTTAATCAGATGTTATCCGAGAATATTTGAAATTAGTACTACTATTTTAATGGTGTTTAAAGCTCACTTGTAAATTAATATTTGTCAACTATAACATTTTATTATTGTTTTTGTATGGTTTACAACATGCAAGCGACGCCTTAATGTTTTCTAGTTAAATGTTCTACTTTGTAATGCGTTCGTGACTGTTCATCTAAATGACTTTTGGATTCATCACGATGTTTGAAAATTGCAAAGAATGAGTACTCACCCATAAGCATGTCGCTTTTCTTTTCCTTCACAAAGTAGTGAGAGGCATTGATTTTCAGCACGTGCTCCATAATACCCGCTTTTCCGGCACCCTGAAAACAATTGAAACCCACTCATCACTCGTCCTAATACAATGGAAGTATAAGTAACTCTCGAACCTGACGTAATTCAGGTTAATTCAATAATGTTTTATTGCACGTCATTATCTTCTCAGTTGCTGAATTTGTTACTGCGCGTCCGAAAATGGTTACTTCTGTCATATAAAACGTTTATTTCGTATGCAAACTTTATTTGATATATGAATGGGTGAAACCCAGAACGGTATGTGACATAATATTAATTCTGAGAAAACTGTTGATTTAATTTAATATTACTGTAAAGCCGTGATGCGTTTCTTCATTAAAACCACAGCATTTCAATTGTTCATTAAAAGCACCACATTACATTGCAACTGAAATAGAGCCTAATATAAACATGTTTTTCTCAGGATTTATAAAATGTTAACTATTGTCTATAACTATTGTATCCGTTGTGGTTTTCACCTATTTGTATAATATTTATTTCAACTTTTGTTAGAAGTGTTTATTGTCAATATTATAAACATAAGTTTCCATTCAACATGTATAAATCATACTATTAATTATTTTATAATAGTTATTCAGACTTCCCTCACAAACAGCCAAGAAGTGTAATTTTCGAAATACGTATCTTTTAACATACTTCTGAAACAAAAGTCTCTCTTAGATACTCAATAGTAAAATATTGTTTGCAATATATTGTTGAGACTGTCTTGAGAAAACAAATATAATAAAATCTCATTATATTGTATAATTTAATTAGAATTGAATTATACTGTTTCACAATAGATATGCCAATCTTGTTTCGTTGGAAATAACTCGGCAATCAATCAATATAATGTTTTTGATGGTGTAATATACAAAACCAAACCATTGAAACCACTTTCCTAAACATCAAAGGGAAGCTTGAGCGAAAACTACGGGAAAGAGCCCCAACTGCCTGCGAGGCAATTCGCTTGGCCTGTTGTTTCCGCGGATGAATAATTCAGTTTAACTGTTGGTCCCCGGCGCCAGTGAATCGGTTTGTGTACTCCCACTTCGCATGAGCGCTTCTGTAGACGCTGGCTGAGCGATACAGGATGTTTGAGGTTACGGGTTACTGTCGCTGGCGGGTTTGTACTGCTTGTTGAAGGCTGTTTCACAACATGTTACGCCCCGGAGCATGCAGTTGGCGGGAAGACAAAGCAGGTGCCGCTAGAGGACGCACATATCGTCGCCATCACAGGAAAGAAACGAGAAAATGGATGAATACTTTAAATTTTGTAAGTCTTGGCCTTATAAAATGGAGAATTTCGTGTTGGTGTAACAGTTTAGACAATAATTATTTGAAAGATTTTACAAAACGTGAGTAAGATAAGAGTATTTGTGAACAGTGGCTTAGTTTGATGGATGCTCTCAGTGTTTTCACAGAAATCGTGGCTTTGTCTATTTGAAACATTACTTCTGAGATTAAGCGGATGTTTTAATAGATTTCATAGTTGTATGATATCTAGCAACCGGGAACAAACTGTACTTCTAAAATCTGTCCACATGTCGCTCTTGAGAGCGTAAGCTTCCGCGCCCAGAGTCAATGCATTCTTGTCTAACCGGGATGAGCTGCGTCTCGGTCAATTGTGCTGACGTTTCGGCCATCTTGCTGTGGCCTTCTCCAGACCTATACTGCTCTGAAGAGCAGATGGCCGGAACGTCAGCACAATGGACCGAGACGCGGCTCATCCCGAATAGCCAAGAATGCATTGGTACCTATGCCTAGGACGCGGCGTTTCCCGGACAGCCAAGCAGCTAAGTCGCTCTTACCCACTTGTCGTGGGAATTAATTGGGCTTGGGCATGCAGGACACCGTTAGGTAGCCGACAAAGTCGGCCCAATCCCAACATCGATGCCAAAATGACAATTACATACATATTATATATCGCGATATTTATGTACATTGCATAACACGCTGTAATAATAATAAAATAATAATAATAATAATAATAATAATAATAATAATAATAATAATAATAATAATACCGCAAATTAAGCGATGAGAGCTACCGCTCTTTTAGAATTCCCCTCCGGAGATTGCGTTGCATTCAGCGCCGGGCGTAGCAAAGGCGGGGTTATGCGTGCGCGGCAGGTAGCCGTGGGCAGGCGGCGGTGGGCGGGGCGGAACGAGCTGGTGCTGACGCTGCTGCTGCCTGACGGGCGCGGGCGGCGTACCCCGGAGACGCGCTGCTGACGGCGCGCTACGCGTGCGGCGCCCCAACACGCTGGCGCTGCGCCTTCAACGGCCCACGTGCACGCGCCCCTGCCCGTTCGCCGCCCCGCGCTGCGCATGCCGGTCAATCTGGCGGCGCCACGTTAGTCCCCTCCCAACCGCCCTCGCCCACTCCAGCTAGACTAGCTACTATTATTACATTTATATA